TTACAAACTTATTAAAAAATTGTAATCTAGAGACAGCAATAGATAAAGTACAATTCAATTTTCCAATTAATTATTTAGGAGTTCTATTATCCTCAACCATGGTCCGTCCACCAAAAATTCAAATACGAGTAGATCAACTCAAATCACTTAATGACTTTCAAAAGTTATTAGGAGACATAAATTGGATAAGGCCTTATTTAGGTATACCAACAGGAGAGTTGGGACCTTTATTTGATATCCTAAAAGGTCCATCAGATCCAAATTCACCCCGAATGTTAACGCCTGAAGCAAGAAAGGCATTAAAAATCATTGAAACATATATGGAAAATATGCATTTGGATAGAATTGATATAAGTTTGCCTTTATTATTTATTGTACTACCAACAAAAAATATTCCTACAGGAGTATTTTGGCAAGAAGGTCCATTATTATGGATACATTTATCTTATTCTCCTAACACTATTCTTACTAGGTATCCTGAGGCTGTAGGACAATTAATACTCAAAGGAATAAAAGCAGCAAAGGGAGTGTTTGGAATTTCTCCCAATAAAATTATTACTCCATATACTATGAATCAAATGGATGAGTTAGCTAATGAGTTAAATACTTGGGCAAGAATCATGTGCAAATCTAATGTTTCATTTGATAACCACTTACCATCTAATCCTTTATTGTCTTTTTGGTCATTGCATCCTGTAATTTTTCCAAAAATGACAAGAAAAACACCTATCATGAATGCTCCAAATATATTCACTGATGGGTCAAATAATGGTACAGCAGCAGTAGTTACCCCTGATCAAACTTTTACATTTTTAGTACCCAAACAATCAGCTCAAAAGGTAGAGCTTAATGCAGTTTTACAAGCTTTTGTGATGTTTAAAGATTCTGTATTTAATTTATTTTCTGATAGTCAGTATGTAGTTAATGCTATAGTATCTCTTGAAGATGCTGGTAGGATTTCCCCTTCTTCTACTGTTTTCTCTTTGCTTTCCACTATACAAAGTCTAATCTGGGACAGAAAAGATCCATTCTTTATAGGACATATCAGGGCACATACAGGATTGCCTGGAGCCCTTAGTTTGGGCAATGATTTAACAGATAAAACTACACATGACATACATATTTTCTCTACACTAGAAGAAGCTATAAATTTTCATAAAAAGTTCCATGTCAATGCTAATACTTTACAAAAGCGTTTTAAAATAACTAAGGAACAAGCTAGACAAATAATAAAACAATGTCAAAATTGTGTGACCTTTTTACCACAAGTTAATCTTGGAGTCAATCCTAGAGGATTGATACCTAACCATATTTGGCAGATGGACGTCACACACTTGCCAGAATTTGGAAAATTAAAATATTTGCATGTTACAGTTGATACTTCTTCTGGATTTTTGATGGGCTCCCTTCATGCCGGAGAAAAAACTAAAGATGTTATAGCTCATTGCTTACAAAATTTTGCCACTGTGGGTGTTCCAAAACAGTTAAAAACAGATAATGCCCCTGGTTATACTTCTACCTCTTTTAAACAATTTTGCTCAACATTTGGCATTACTCATATAACAGGAATCCCATACAATCCACAGGGACAAGGCATAGTTGAAAGAGCTCATCAAACTATTAAAATGTACTTATTAAAGCAAAAAGAAGGAATTGGGAAGGGGTATATATTCTCCAAAGATAAATTTTAAATAACGCTTTTTACTCTAAACTTTTTAAATTTGGATTCTTCAGGACTTAGTGCCGCGGAAAGGCTTATGTGTCCAAAAAATGTGCATAAGCCCAAGGTACTTTGGAAGGATATTCTAACAGGAAAATGGAAAGGTCCTGACCCAGTAATTGTCTGGAGTCGGGGGTCTGTTTGTGTGTTTCCACAGGGAGAACAGCAGCCGATTTGGATTCCAGAGAGATTAACCAAGGTCCTGACCCAGTGATTGTCTGGAGTCGTGGGTCTGTTTGTGTGTTTCCACAGGGAGAACAGCAGCCGATTTGGATTCCAGAGAGATTAACTAAAGTGATTTCTACAGACCAAAAAGAAGATGATTTGGCTCAAATCCATAACAACTGATATCCAAAACTCCAGTTTGGCTATTCTTACATCTGCAACAGAACCAGGATGCTTTTTTCAATATATATTTTATTATTGCCCTTTGCCATATCATGAAGTTCTATTTTGTTTTTTGAGCTCATACAGACCTAGGTTAATGTTTTGCTGATCAGTTCTATTTTTTGACTATAGAGTTTTTAAACATTGCAATGGAGATTTCACCTGTAAAAAGTTTTAAGGCCTTTACTATAATGTTATGTGTTGTATGTATTCTATTATGTGTGCACACTTGTGTTTTGTGTTATATGTTTGAATGTACGTATGTCCATATATCATATATGATGAGCGCTCATGATAAAATGGATCCAAATATTTTTTTTCACGTAATTTATATGGTTTAATTTAAATTGGGTAAACAACTGTTGAGGATTGTTTTAATATGTAAACAAAAAAGAAGGTTAACAGATCTGTTTGTTTACTTTCACCTTTCCTTTTCATTATATTTAATAATTCTCTTAAAGATAATGTAAATTGTTAAGAAAATTGTTTTCTTTTAGTGCCTTCTGTAATGTTACATAATTTTTTCTTTAGCCATTATTGCCAGAATTCCTATCTTCATCCCAGTGCCAGTGAAGACAATGTAAATTGTTAAGAAAATTGTTTTCTTTTAGTGCCTTCTGTAATGTTACATAATTTTTTCTTTAGCCATTATTGCCAGAATTCCTATCTTCATCCCAGTGCTGGTGAAGTCAAAGATAACACCAATCTACAGCTTCTACAATAGCCATCACTGAACTGCTTGCAGAACTTGCCTGGACACATTGTGAGCTCACCTGTATGCATTGTGAACTATCTGTTGGTGCAGCGACTTGTGGTAGTGTTGGGGTATTTTTGCTGATGATGTCATTGGTGGTACAATTTTTCCAAAAGGAGCCGTCAATTGGCTTGGTGTATCTTCCTCCCTTCTGCTTGTCATGATCGTCCAGCTAAAATTTGGGGGCCAACAGAGGTGAGGCAAAGAACCTCACCCCCCCGCTGGTACAAAGACCTCTCCACAGGTGTGGCTGTATACTGGACCGGTAGTCAGTGACGGGTAAGATCCAATTGCAATGGTACCAACCTAAGGACCATATGTACTATTGGACAACCTAAGGCAGGCACGGTCCCTAAGCCACATGCTTGTTGTTTAAACAGAGAGGGGGAGATGTTGAGAGCCACAGCCGAAGGGGCCCCAGCAAACTTCCAGCTGCCAGCTGATGATTGGCTCACAGCGGCCCCAGCAACATCTAGCTGATTGGCTCCTCGGCCCCAGCAACATCTAGCTGATTGGCTCCTCTGCGGTGATGCTCATTGGGCTGTTTCCCTGCCCTTTCAGACCACGGAGCTGCTCATTGGGGGACTTTTTTGGCTCCGCCCATGTGACCCAGCCAATCGGCCTCAAGAGCAGGAGGATTGTGGGAGGTGGAGAGAAGCTTGTGTGGGAGAGAGAGGCTTGTGGAAAGCCGGTGGTGGCAGTTGAGGCTCTGAGGGTTTTTCCTGAGAGGCTGTTTTGTTTGGTGTGTGTGGTTCTAAAAATAAAGTTAGTTTCTTTTGACAAGTGGCTCCTGATTGTGCCCAGCCAGACCGCGGCATCTCCATATGATGGAATATGTCTCAGCAGTAACAAATCCAAAGCAGGGATGACTCCAACAACATTATGCCAATTTAAGGAAGCCAGACACAAAGCAGGAGAGGCTGTATAATTCCACTTACAGGAATCTCTATAACAGGAAAACTAATATATAGTAATCTAAAGCATATCAAGGTCTGCATTGAGTCACAACCTTGGCTTGTATTATTATTTTTTTTTTGTATACCATGATTGAGGTGGTGTTTAGCCCTAATCTTTGAGTTTTACATGTGAGGCACCTGGCATCAGAAGTTGGGTGCCTTATCCTAAGTGATGCCACTTATTTATCAGTGAAAACATACTGACATATAATAATATATTGCTATTATTTTGTACAGTGGATCCATAGGAACAGTGTTGTATCCCCAAACATCTGTCAAAACCCCTACTTGGCCATCGGCATGCTTTTATACAAGTAAATCATAGATTTGAAAGCATAACTATTCTGCATTATAACCATCCATTCATATACACAGTTGACATTCCACGTGTTCATTTTCCTAACTTCTTTATGTTTAAGTTCACAAAAAAATGCTAAATGTCTCATTAAATGCTGAAAGTCTCATTTCTCTTCTGAGAAATAATGCCATAATATACAGTTTCATAAACTGACTTTTGTCTCTGCACAAATATTACTTCCTGCTTCTTGTAGTCTGCCACTGAAACCTGAGCCATTTCTTGAATGATAATACATTTTTTGCCCAAAGATTGAAAATGGGAAGAAGGTAAGCCCCCAATTTAATGCTTTCCCATACTTGTTTCATTCTTGGTGCTTGCCGCAGTCTGGCTGGGCAAAATAACTGGGGGGTGAGTGACAAGCAACTTGTGAAGGTTGATTCAGCAGGAGCCGCTTTATTGTAGGACAGCAAGGGTATATATACATAACTGAATTCACAGCTTGTTTCAATTAACATCTAGATACATCAATCAGTCATCAAGGAATCCTCATCTTCTTAATTACACACATCTTAACTCAATCAACATAAACTAGATACAGCAGTCAACCAATAAGGAATCATCTTAATGATTACACACAGCTTAACTTAATTGACGTAATCTAGACACAGCAGTCAGTCATTAAGGAATCTCTATCATCTTAATGGCTTGCTGGCATTACTTCTCAAACCACTCCTCTTGGCAAAGTGCCAGGTGCCATCTTGACTTGTTTATGGACCCTAACATGTGCTTTTTATTTTGTTTCACTCAATCTATATATCAGATTATTTCCCATGGGAGCCACCATGATTTACTATTGCCATTTTGTAAAATATATTAATAGCTGACATGGCAGCCTGCCCCATTCACCCATCTGTTTTTCTTTTTGTTGCCAGGAGGACTAATATGAGCAAGTGCAGTGAGTACATATGTATCCCTCACTAAATACCAGATGATATACCAAGTACTTGACCTAGTAATAGCTAACTTACGTTAGTGCTTATTAGGTTACACACATTTCTCCAGGTGCCTTCCACTTATTTCCATATGTTAACTCACATACTTTTCAAAATGACCCTAAGGACAATGACAACAAAAAATCCCAAACCGAAAAAACTTTAACACTGAAGCCAAAGTTACATGCCCTAGAGCATAGAATTACGCACCAGGATTCAAACACTGATCAATCTAACATCAGTCCCTATGTCCATAACCAATAGCATATGACTCTGTGTTTGAAATGAACGCTGGACAGGACTCACTCAAAGTCTGGAGGGCAGTGATGGGTTGGTGGCTGGAGAGCTGAGATCCCCAGCTTTCTGACCACGAGACCCATCATCATTGAACATTATTTCCCTGCAATGCCTCTCCTTTCTCAGAATGTGTGGGAACTGTTTCTCTGGGGTTCAACTTGAAGTAACAGAGACAGACAATATATGCGTGGAAAGGAAGGTTTTCGAGGAGTGCATATCTCCAGGATGAATTCACTTCCCCAGAGGCTTTCTTAGTGTGTGTTTCATGGTCTTTCCAACACTCCCCTCATGTTCCTGACCAGTACATCCATCCCTTAGCTTTTTCATTCTCTATCAGGTACTCTTATCCCTTCTTTCCCATCTATACTTTGTTCCAAGGACAGTCATTTCTACTCCTCTCTTGACAATATTAGCCACTCTCTGACCTCATCATCCTTCTGTTCCAAAGAGCTTGAAAAGCACAGATATATAATCATGTGGATATATTAAGGCAGATATATTTTGCATGATAAATTTAAAAAAACTGAAATGTCTTCATCAAAGTATAAGTTCTGGATTGTTAAACATTGTAGGAAATTAGTCACACATGATTAGTGGAAATGTGTCTGGGTGTAAACATCATTTAATCTCCTTGAGAAAAAAATTTACTTTTAAAAATATTCACGTGCATTTCCTGGGAAACTGTAGAGTAAGGATGCAAAATTCCTGAGCCCACTCTGAAGACCAAGCTGTGCTCCACTGTGTCTTTAAGCCTTCTCCAATAGGGATATTCTCTAACTCTGGCTAAACTATGGATTTTGCTCTACTATATTTTGGTACAGAAAACTCTAATACTTTCTTAATTAGAAACAATCTAAATATTAAAACACCAAGATTTTAAAAACATACCAAGATTAAAGAAAATAGCACTAAAAAGCACATTCACAACAAGGAACATGCTGGGCTCAGTGGCACATGCCTGTAATCTCAGTAACTTGGGAGGCTGAGGCAGGAGGTTCGCAAGTTCAAAGCCAGCCTCAGCAGATTAGCGAGGCACCTAATAACTCAGGAGGACCCTGTCTCTAATTAAAATATGAAAAAGGGTGGGGATGTGGCTCAGTAGTTAAGTACCCCTGGTTTCAATCTCCAGTACAAAAAAAAAAGAAATGAAAAACACAAGGAACACAATTTGTCCATATATAATATGTAACACATTAAAAGAAATTCTGCAGTGAGATCCAGTTCTGTGTGGCAATGCAGTTACCAACATGATTTGAAATGTGCATATCTGTAACCTATGTATAGAAGCACATCATACAAAGCATTCATACATGCCCATGTGTCCATATGCATACACACTCATACCCACACACACATGTGCACTTTCCTTCCTCTGTGATAAGGATGGTCCTTTATGTCTGTCACAAGGCTAAGTGACCAAAGACATGCCTATGGGGCCAGAACATTCTTCCTACACATACCATGTGTTCAGAAAGCGATGTCTGCTGGATTCAGGGAAAGCCTCTCCTCATTTTGGTCAGCAGTATTTACAAATGCCTCCTTCTCTGACATTATCAAAGCTGCAGTTTTAGGATTAGTCTATAGGGAGTTACTTAGTTATATTTTTCACTGCAGCTCAAATTTGGGATAGACAAACAGATGGAGGTAGAAACAGGTGCGATGTATGTAGTCTTCTCAAAAGTGGTTTTGTTGATGATCCCAAATTTACATCACATGCTCTCATAAAATAAATATTAGTTAGGGTCCTGCAAGCCCAAAGTAACTCCTAATCTGCAAACCTATGGCCCAAATAGATTCCTCCCATCCAGTCCAAGAGGGATTTCTCCACTTTGCCCTAATCATCTGCTTCTCACCCCAAGAGGAGCAACTAGCACAAAAATCTTATCCCTCACCCGTTCCTAGAAATCTTTCCTTGAGACCTGGAAGTTCAGAACAGTGCAGTTCTTGGAGAAGCACTTAAACTGTGGAGGCAGACCAGAGGGTCCTGAGAACAATACTTGTTCTCCATTTGCTGGGCTAGAAATCCAGGGAAATGTTCCTCATGTCTGTGGGCTTCATGTTCATGATCTGAAAAGGAACTGTGGATATAATTCTTGTGGCGTTTCTGTGAGGAGGTCAAATCAAGCCTAGAGTCCGCACAACACTGAGAAAATATTGGTTGGCACTGGGCAAGTGCTAGTTTACTTCTTGCTCCATTTTTCCCTACCACACAGCAGGATGAAGTTGCCATGTATTGGGGGGAAGTGGAGGGGGTGTGGTTCTAAAATGACACAGTAAGTAGCATTGGAACACATACCATGTCATAAAGGATCCTCACTAGTGTTTTGGTGTGGGAGGCAACACCTGAAGGGGACCTAGGCAGACCCAGGCAGAAAGACTCTGGCTCCTTTCTCATACTCTTGTCAGGGCCTTTGGTTCTGGCAGCAGGGCCATGAACCAGGGACTGGGCTGAGATGTGGGAGTTCAGTGAGTAGATGTGCACCTGTGTGTGTTTAGTCTTCAACATCTCTGACTGTCAGGGCCCATGGTGGCTTTCTATCACATGCTCACTGTCCCCTGTGATTCACAGCACAGGGCCTTGCCTGAGATTGTAGCTGTAGGCATTTTCTAGCTCACCTTTATATTTTCCCCCCAGTTCTGTTATTAATGAAAACATATTCTCAAAATGACTCAGACTCTGCCTGAACTCCATACCTGGACAAAGTGCCCTATTAACCTTCAGTTTAATATCCAGAGTTTTTCCTTTTGTTTATGAACATTCATGGAAATGGGCTGGTTTCCTGGCATTCTCCAAATATCACCAATAAGGTTCCCTTTTGTTGTCATTTTGGACTCATATCTCTTTAACATATTGATGGGCTCCAAACCTCTGTTACAGTATTTTGAGCAGAGGAATGACAAGATTTGACTTGTACTTAAAAAAAATCACTCTGGTGGCCAGGTGCAGTGCAGCATGCCTATAATCCTAGTAGCTCAGGAGGGTGAGGCAGGAGGATTGCAAGTTCAAAGCCAGCCTCAGCAAATTAGCAAGGCTCTAAGCAACTTAGGAAGACCTTGTCTCAAAATATATAAACAAACAAAAAGGCCTGGGGATGTGGCTCAGTGGTTAAGTGCCCCTGGATTCAATCCCTGGTACAAAAAAAGAAAGGCAGGGAGGGAAGGAAGAAGAAACAACAAAGAAGAACAGGAAAATCCCCACACATTTGGGAATTGTATTTGAAGCTACTCATTCCAGTTTGTCATTCAGACCCTTGTTACAGAAGCATAGAGTTTAGGAAGAGTCCTGTCCTGGGCTGAAAGCATTGCAGGCTGTGCAGAAGGAAAGCTTGCTCTGAATATTTCAAGCGGAGTATTGTTGAGGGCGAGGGTGGAAGTGTCAGGGACAGTGTAGCAGGATGTTAGATTAGTCCCAACTCGCATTAAAACTTTTACTATACCAGCAAAGGAAGCTCAGCTAGCTGATTATTCACAGTGAGTTCTGGTGGGTGATTAGAATCAGGGTGTGTTACAGAGGATGCCTCCCAGCAATTGGTGGTGATTGGAGAAGCCTCAGAGAAGGCAAGTGTAGAACAGCTGCTTGATGTGCAGATGATGTCTAGCCTAACCCAAGGGCAGACACATCCTTGATCCTTACCAATCCTGCTCCACTTATTAAAAGGTCCAACAGAGTTACTTCTTCGTCTATAGTATCTCCCTTGATTGTGTCACCTATGAGAGAAGGCTCTCATATCTGGACAAAGGAGTTTGTTTTCTGGAGTTTGTGTGATTGATCCTTAGGGAAAGTTGGCATTTTGCTTGCCTTAACTCACTGTTGGGCCATGACATGGTAAGTGGATAATTAATGTATCCTTAAATTTGTATTTTTTATGTTTTTATTAGTACATTATAATGTACATAGTGGTGGGGTTTATTGTGACATGTTCATATATGCACATAACATGATTTACTCCAATTCATCCCCTAGGACTTACCACTTCCATTTCTTCTCCCTCACCCTATTCTTCCTATAATTTTCTGGCCTTCATTTTATTTATTTATATATCTATATATTATCAGTATATTATAATTACACATGAAACTGGGATTCATTATGATATGCTCACATCTGCATATAGCATAATTTGGTTGATTTTATTCCCAAGTTCTTCCCCTTTGTCTCCCTTCCCTCCTCTCTCTTGGTCCACTGCCTTTCCTCTACTGATATCCCTTCAAATTTGCTGAAATTCCCCACATTTTTATTCCTTTAATCTCTCTAGCTTCTGCACATAAGGGAAAACATTTAACCCTTGACTTTCTGAGTCAGTTTGGCTTATTTTACTTAGCATGAAATTTCTTCTCATCCCAGTTAGAATGTCAATCATCAAGAAAATAAATAATAATGCTGGAGAGGATGTGGGGAGAAAGGAATATTTACACATTTTTGATGGGATTTAAAATTAGTACAAACACTGTGGAAATCAATATGGAGATTTCTAAAAACACTAGAAATAGAATCATCATATGACCCAGCTATTCTACCCCTTAGTATTCATCCAAAAGAACTGAAATCAGCGTGCTATACAGTTACATGCATTCCAATGTTTATAGCAGCACAATTCACAATAGCCAAATTATGCAACCAGCCTGGTTGCCCATAAGTAGATGAATGGATAAAGAAAATATGGAATATATACACAATGAAATTCTACTCAGCAATGCAGAAAAATGAAACAATGTCATTTGCTGGTAAACAGATGAAGCTGTAGAACATCAGGCTAAGTGAAATTTATACTTGCATTTTTGTTACCAGTTTCAGAAAACAGTGATGATAACAGTGCTGTTCAAGTAAAAAAGAAAGGTGGAAAAATTTCCCAGGATAATCTTGGCAGGAAGAATCTTCATTATGAGCATACTGGTTATGAACTGCTTCCTTCGAAACTCCAGGAGGGAGATCGAAATGTGGCAATAAGGTATGTCCACAAAGACCCACAATAAGACAGTAAGGAATCAGGCAGCCTGCTTTGCAGATAGCAGCCCCTTGGACAATGCAACTCTTTTACTCTCTGTGGTCTTTTTTTTCTTCTCTCACTGGAAAACTGAACAACAGTGGAAGTGGCATACTGGTGGAGCAGTCCTCATTGTGACCCTGGTATCAGTGAGGGGAGGGGTATAGAAGGCTTTCTTAGCATTGATGGACACCCTCCTTCTCTCCATTTGCCAGCACTCAAACCACCCACCGCAATAAGAAGAGAGAGAAATGGCATAATGAAGAGCAAATCCATATTACTGTGTGGAAAGATACAAAACCTGAAGAGAGAGAAATAGGAGAGGACACACAAGGAGAAGCAATGGGCAACTGGTTCAAGGTTACGGTGAGTGTCATGGAAAGGTCTGCACTAAGTAGGATATTTTGGAAACTAATAGAAGGAAGATGACATTAAACACCATACATTGGTTATTTGGAGAAGAGCTTCTGAGAAGGAGGTTTCGGAAATCCATATTTGGCACAGAAACAAGAAATCATGTCAGTGGTCCCTTTAGAAGTACTTTAAAGCTAGATAGAATGTTGGAAAATAGCACTTGGCTGGGTCTGTCCTCCATCCTAATTTCTTGCTGTCTCCTCCTCTCTGACTCTTTCTTTTTATCCTTAGATTCCATATGGGAGAAAGTATGACAAGGCATGGCTAATGAATACAGTCCAGAGCCATTGCACTGTCCCCTTCACCCCGGTCGATGTAAGAGAGGATGGTGAAGCCAGCTGAGTGGGCACAGGGGAAGGGGAGAGACCTGGCTCAGCAGGGGCCATTGTCATCTGACACCATTGCTTCTGTCTTCACTGTAGTTCCACTACATCAGAAATCAGGCCCGGTTCTTTGTACAGGATGTTAAAACTGCTTCTGCATTAAAGGATATCAGCTATAAGATTTGTGATGAGGAGAACCAAAAGGTGTGTGCTAGGGGCTTTCCCTGTATCATGTTATCTTGGAGTAGGAGGATGGTTGTTATCTTTAGGATTAGAACTCCTGTTGTTGACCCTACCTCTCCTTCCCACAGATATCTGTCTTTGTCAATACTTCTGCTATACCCTACTCTATGCAGAATAAGTTCATGCCAGAGCAAATGGAGCAGCTAAAGGTAGTGCAGACTCAAAGCAAGTTATATGCCCATTTCTTAGAAACTACCCATTCCCCCACCTCCTGATGTCACTGTCCCCATCCCTATAGACTAAGAGCTGCTGTTTCCATCTCTGTCTCTGCAGCTGACTATGAGCAAAGGATATGATGCCTCCCAGCAAGTTCTCAACCTCCAAAAGCTCCGTTTTGACTCAGGTATTGCTGACCACAGTAATCCTAGGGCAGGTGAGGGCAGAGGGTTTTTCCTGGGAGGAAGACATAGGGATGGAAACTTGGGGAGGGGTTTGTGCTGACATTGATCCAGCTGGACCCCTCTTAGCCTTCTGATTCCCTCGTCTTGGCTTCCCAAAGACTTGGTGGGCCATGACATTGACATGATCCTGAATCGAAGAAACTGCATGTTTGCCACCTTGCAGATCATTGAAAGTAATTTCCCTGAGGTGAGACTTTAGGCCCAGGTTTGGTATTTAGGTAGAGGGGTGGAAGGGATGGTGTTCAGGGCAGATGTGTCTCCCAGGTGCTAGATAATCCCCATCATTCTAACTCTTCCTCCCCAAAAGCTGTTGTCCTTGAACTTGCAAAACAACAAACTGTACCAGCTGGATGGCCTGTCTGACATTATAGAGAAGGCTCCCAAAGTCAAGATACTAAACCTTTCCAAAAATGAGGTGAGAAGAGAGAGCCAGGTGAAATTTGGGTTGAGGGTGGCTGGTAGTGCACAGCAGGATGTTGGCAAGAGGCAGACAAAGGTACTTGTGGGTGAGGATTCCAGGGGCTGGCATGTAGGATCCCAGGTGTCCCTCTCTCCCTGGGTCTCCTTAATTGGTTCCCTCCCCATCTTTCTCAGCTGAAGACCGCCAAAATGTTGGACAAGCTGAAAGGGCTGAAGCTGGAAGAGCTGTGGCTAGAAGGGAACCCCTTGTGCAGTACTTTCCCAGACCAGTCTGCCTATGTAAGGTAGATAATGCCTGGTAACACCTGTCACCCTTCCTGGGGACCTTTGCCTCCTGGGAGCCTGAGGTGCCCCTGATATCCCCGTCTGCAGGAGGATGCAGCCCTGGTCCTCTGAAAGGACAGCAGGCCATGCCTTATCCTCTATCTGTGTCCCTCAGCTGTGCCCACAGGTCTGCTTTCCTTCTTCTGACCTGCCCCTCATTTTCACCTGGGCTGGGGTGTGTTTTCCGCCTCTCTGTACTGACCTCCTCCAGCAAGGCCTCCCAAGATGGACTTGGGCTTCCCTCCTCTGTCCTAAGAGTGGCTATTCTTCCCTTGCTCCAGAAAAGTCCCCCTTCCTGTCCCAAGCTGACATGGAGATTTTATGCCCGTGCTGATGACCAGGGTGGCTACCATCTCAACATCTGTTCCTCTAGGCCATTGGTGGGAACTGTTTCCTCCTTGGGGAGAAACTCGGGTTCCCTGAGTCAAGGAGCCAGAGGTGGGCCACTGCCAGCGAGCAGAGGCCTTCCCAAGACAGGAGGGGAAGGCAGAGGGAAAAGGAGGGGCAGAAGGAGGAGGAGGAGGAGGAGGAGGCGGGAGCACAGGCTGCTCAGGGGCACTGCTGCTCCCTCCCCCACTCCACATCCCACATCCAACCTCGTCCCTCAGAGCAGCCCTGGTAGCCCAAGTCAAGATGCTTCCTTGGGCAAGACACTGACTCAGACAGGCACCGGTGCACAGGAACCACCATGAGGGAACCTGGTGCTCATAAGAGGGGGCCACAGACCCTCTGTCACATGCTGAGCTGGTGCCTGATTCTTCACTACTGGTGCTGGGAATGACACCTCCCCTGGGGGCAGCTCCTTTTCCCATACCTGGCCCCCTCTGGGCCCACACGGGAGACAGAGGCTGAACCTGCATCCTGTGGGCCCGAGCCCAGCAGGTACATGTTTGCATTCCTGCCTGGGGCCGCAGGGCCAGCCAGGGGCAGGTGAAGGAATGGGCTGCAGTAGGGGAGCTGGTTTCTTCTCACTTCCACCTTGACCTCCAGCACCAGGGCAGCATCTTCCCCTTCCCTTTGCTTTGCTTCCTCTATCACTGTCTCTCCCTCCCCTGCCTTCATTCCCTTTCTGTGGCCATACCCCTGCCTTCCCCTGCCTGTCTCACTCACCAAACCCCCACCCTGCCCAGCATCCTATCCTGGGAGGTGAGGGTATGACCTGGTCTTGGTCTGGCCAGGCCATGCCCCACGGAAGGCTGGACACCCAGCACAGTAGCAGAGCTCTGGTCTCCCACTCCATTCCCTCCTTCCTTCAGAGCCTTCCATGGGGGGACCTGGAAGAAGGTAAGGGAGGCAGGGTGGGCCCTGGAGGAGGGGGTCAGGCCAGTGTAGATGGGAGCTACCCAGGGGAAAGGAGAGGAAAGAGAGCAAGAGGGAGAGAGTGTGCACAACCCTCCACTGTCACCTCACTTCATTAGATTTTTCATTTGCACAGTGCTATCCAGGATTGTTTCCCCAATTTATTACGCCTGGTAAGTATGCACTTCTGGTCTTGTCTCCTTACTCACATGCCTGACCTCCCCGCTGGCCCCAGGCCTTGTGGGCCTTGCCTAGATTATGTGTGCACCAGACCCTCATCCATCTTAAAGAGCATGGATTCTCCATGGCATGGACATTTTCCCCAGGGAGAACACACACATGTATGTGTGCACACACCCATACACACCCACTCACAGGGTGCATATAATGGCAGAGATTCCCAACAGCTCATGATGTAGATGCCCAGTGTGATCTCATCCACAGAATTCCCAGGGCCATTTTTTACCTAACATCTGGCCCTTGTTCCCCCTTGGGCCTGTTCAACTCCTTGTTCATACTGTGCCACCACCCTGAGCTGCACTGCTGACTTCCTCTTCTCTTCTCCAGGATGGCCAGGAGTTATCCACACCAGTTGTTGTTGACCCTGATGCCCCCAAATTAATAAAACCCTGCAAGGTGAGGAAGAAGGACCAAGAGAGATGGGGGTGTTGCAGGGGAGACTTTATCCACCACAGAGTCTAAAATGAATTTTTATTCCAGGAAAGCTATAAAGGATCTGAGACCTTAAAGAATCTAGTTCTGCAATTCCTACAGGAGTAAGTTCCCCCTGAGACTTTGAGGAGAGGGAGGCTTGGGACAGGCTTGGCTTCCATAGCACCAGTCTGCTCATAGGAGTTTTCTGGTCTCATTTGGGGGTTAGGCCACAGAGATAGCCTGTTCCCTTTGCTCCCCAATAGGTATTACCTGATCTGTGACTGTGGAGATCGACAGGGTCTACTTAGTGCTTACCATGATGAGGCCTGCTTCTCTCTGACCATTCCCTTCAACCCCAAGGACCCAGCCCCGTGAGTATCACAGTTCAGGTTCTGGTCCAGGATGGTGTGACCCTCTCACAGATACATATGAGTTCTGGAAATAAACACACTGGCTGACCCACCCTCTTATTCCTCTTTTTCTCCTAGAAATAGCTTGTGCAAGTACTTCAAGTATAGTAGGAATATGAAGAAGCTCAAGGATTCCAGTAAGTGTGAGAGGGGGAAGACTGGGTAGCATAAAGGGTCATGACAGGCAACAATTTTAAGGACCAAGGGCCAGGGTATGGTATTGCTCCTATCTTCATTTCTGTTTTCTCTACAGAGACAACAGTTGCGGAGACAACTGCTGAAACACACAAAACATGACATCGTGGACTACCTCAGTGTGTTGCCCAAAACTGAGCATGACTTCAGTTGCCTTATGATAGATATGTGGTTCCAGAAGGTGAGCACCTGCTTCCTCCCTGAACACTGGAGGTGGGAAAGAGATTAAGCAAAATCCTGAGCTCCTGTGTTTTCCCCCTTTAGGAAACAATGCTCTGCTTCTCTGTGAATGGGGTGTTCAAGGAAGGTGAGTGTCTTTACGACCCCCTACTCAGATCCCTTACTGCTTCCTCCTTCTCAGAACTTCTCCAGCTTCTCCAATTCTGGCTGGGCCTTTCCTTCCTATTCTTCTCTCTATATTCTCCTGCCTACACTATCCCACAAACCATCCTGGTCTGAATATTGTCCATGATTGTCTGTCCCATAGCTCAGGTGTTAGAGACATAGGAGTTGGATGTTGATGGCTGTCCTACAGGGTCTTTACTTTATAGTCTTGGACCAGTTACTCTCTGCTTCCCCATTTGCAAATCAGAGCTAACAGAGCCCGTTTCTCTGGTAGATGTGAGAGAAGGATCAAGTAAACTTTTGAAGTGGTTTTCACATGGCCCAACATGTGATAAGGGACTCATCACTGGGAGTTAATTGTTCCAGTTGTTGTCCTCCATTCTTGTCATGCCTCCCAACTCCAAGTGAATGATTGTCTGAGTCAGGCCCCCTTCAGCAGAAGACCCTGATTGGGGAACATTGTTTGAATTAAAGTATGTGCAGCTCTACATGGGTATTGTTTGCTATCCTTGAAGCAGAAGGAAAGTCTCAAGGATGTGTTCATGCCTTCACCCGGATCTTCATTGCTATCCCTACCAACAATTCCAGGTAAGTTCTAAGTTATGGGTGGGAAAAACCACACCATCGTGGGGCCAGAATTATAGTACTGTGATGGTGCAGTCCTCAGAGTATTCTTAATATTGGGGAAAGTCAACAGATTGGTTTAAGGATAAGTCTAGCCTAGTGTTTAAGAGCATTGACACTTGGGATAGACCTCTTTCTGACTTCAACACTTGCTATCTATATAACATGGGTCAAGACACATGACTTGTCTCTGATTCAATGTCTTCTTCTGAAAACAGAAATTCGAGTGTTGTGCAGAATAAATGCAGTGGAGTTAAGTCTAAAACCCTGGTCAGGCTGGTAGATAGTCCCTCCAAAAGTAGGCAGTGTGGGAGGGATGGAGGCTTCCAGACAAGGAAGCCATGCAGAGTAGGGATATGGAAAGAATCTTGTTTACTGAGTGGCGGTGAGTATAGGATTGTCATTGGTAGTGAGCGATTGTCCATCTCTACTATTTTCTGAGGGTCAATTTTTCCTCTAGTATATGCATCCTGAATGATGAGTTGATTGTGAGGAATGCCAGCCCTGATGAGATCCAGAGCTCTTTCTCCATCCCAATGCCTGCACTGTTTTCCACCTCCATGCCTACCCTCTCCCAGGAGCAGCAGGAAATGGTGAAGGTTTTCTCTACACAGTCTGGGATGAAACTTGAATGGTCTCAAAAGTGAGTGCTGGGTGTGTACAGGAATGGGTTAAACTGGAGACTGGGTGAGTGAATCATGGGAACTAGCAGAAAATTAAGAAAAATAATTATTGGGATATTTTACTTCCCCCTACAAAATGGGCTCGTAAAAATGTATCCTAATTTTATACTGTAAAGAAATGTTAAAACAGTTTAATGTTCAGCCAACAAAGTCTTGCATGTGGAAAATCCTAAAGAACCCCCCAAGAAAATATCAGTGTTGATCTAAAAATTCCACAAGATTGCATGATAATATATCTATATACATATATTATTTGCATTTCTGTGCACTTGCATTGAACAATCCAAAAAGGAAATTAAGAAACCATTTCCATTATAATAGCATCAGCAAGAAAAAAATAACAAAAGATAATGGGAGGTGGAGCAAGATTACAGCCTAATAAGATCCTCCTGTAATCTTTCCCCAAAGATATACCAAGTTGAATAGCTATTAATGCACCAACTACCAGGACAAAAACTAATGAAATCAGGTGAGAGGGCTGATTTACAAAATCAGGTTTTACAAAATCAGAGAGACCTAATTTACAAAAAAAAAAAAAAAATGCATTGAAGAAGGCAAGAAGGAAGGAGGATTTAAAAATTTAACAAGCTTACAGGATATTAGACAAAGGGGAATGAAGGGAAGGGAGGGGAATAGGAAAAAGAAAGATAGTGGAATGAATCCAAAATAACTTCCCTATGTACTTATATGGATACACCATAGTGAATCCCATCACCATCATGTACATCCATAAGAATGGGGTCCTAACTAGAATAAGATATATTCCATGCTTTTATCAAAATGAATTCTACTGTCATGAATAACTACAAAGAACCAATTTTTTAAAAGTTTGCAGGATAAAAGGCTTATTCTTACCTTCTTCCTCCAACTCCAAGCAGCTCAGAACATAGAGAAGCACCTCCCACTTTGGGGAGGGAGAAAGATGTTCAGGTCTTGGCCTTGAAACCCAGTACCAGGCCTGCCACAGTGAAACCCCACACTATTCAGAGCTCCATGACCCCCTACCACCAGGCCAGTACCCCTGGACTGAACCACTGAAACTACATTAGACAAAGAGACTACCTCCACCTCCCCTCCTCAATTCTTGGGCAGCAGAGTGGAGAGTAGGACTTCACTTGCTGGGGAGCAAGACAGGAAAGCTAGCATAGGGCTTTGTCTCAAGGCCCAGTGCCAGGCCTGCCGTAGTGAGACCAAGCACCCAGTAGAAATTGAAAGTCCCATATGCAGGCCAGAACTCATAGACAGAGCATCTCGACCAGTCTGGCACCAGGAAAAGACTGTATGTCTGCATGACAGACTTGAGTTTTGACCACATCATTTCAACCTTTGAGTGGACCTAGGGAGCATTCATTCTCCTGAGATTGTGCAGACCCCTGCAATTGTAAGACTCAGGTGGGACCAGCTTGGTACCAACCTTTGTGGCCAAACTACTCTTTCCACCAACAATCCCCAGTACTGGACAGCACAGCTATCACCAGGACAATGCTCACAGACTGGACCCTTAAACTGCCCAATACCAGGCAGATCTGTGTTTCAGTGGGACAGATTGATGTTTCAGCCAGTATTACCACACTGGCTGTGCCATTGGACTGGGTGTACTCCTGAAACTGTGTGGATTCCTGTGGCTATGAGAATCTGCCGCAGCCCAGCTGAGAGTCAACCCAAGTGGCAAAGTACCTTGAGCAACACTACTCTAACCTTGGGCATTGTAGTGGTGGAAGACCTCATTCACTTCGGGTAGGAAAAAGCAGAAAGCACAGGACATTATTACTAACTCTTAGTGCTGAACTGATGAAACTTAACACTGGGCAGATCCTAATAGTCCTCTCCTCAGGCCTGCCTATGAACAGAGCCTCTGGAACAGTTCCAGTGCCAAGGAAAGACATATGTCCCCACTCAATTAGACTTATGTTCCAACTACATTATCTATGGATGGTTCCATCAGTCTTAAGCCATGAGTACTCCTCAGTAATAGCCCATAACATTGTGTGCCTTGATCCTAACCTAGTGTCTCGGTCGTCTTAGTGAGGTGTTGGCTCAGGGTGTGATATAATTTGGTGGTTTTGATGACCACAGGTGTAACATAGGAGCCTCGGGCTGATTCATCCATGGTGATTGCCTATAGCTTGGAAGAATCTTACAGTGTTAGACTACAGTCCAGTAACTATGGATGAGGGATATAGGCTTAAACACACACATGCCCACACATGGCATTTTACACATCCATAAGGAAGAATGAAGTTTTGTCATTTGCCTGTAAATGGATGAAATGGCAGAACATCATATTAAATGAATTATGCCAGCCTCAGAAAATCAGGGTCATATTTTTCTCTTATATGTGGAACATAGAAAAAAAGAAGGGCAAGGAAATTTTCATGAAAATAGAAGGGAGGCCAGTAGAATAGAGAATGGAGATTTGGATGAGGGACAAGACAAGAGCAAAGGGAGGTACTAGGCAGTGAAATTGAACAAATTATGTTATGTTTATGTATAAATGTATCACAATGATTCCCACCATTTTGTATAATTATAATGCATCAATTCTAATCTTGTGTGTTGCAAGATTAGACTTCTGTTCCAACTACATTACCTATGGATGGTTCCAGCAGTCTTAAGCCATGAGTCCTTAGTATAAATACTAAAACAAATTATTGAAAACTAGTAAGTGACATTAATGTGTTAAGTGATAGGCAATATTGAAAGATATAAAAATGGGATATAAAAATTTTTAAATATGAGGAAAAATGGAATGCAACAGGAGAGTTTTCTTGTGTGTATATTTTCTCCTGTTCTTTTTCCATTTTGTTTCTTTCTCTTATGTTCATGTTAAATTGCTGTCATTCAAGCTAGCTTGATATGATCAGAAGATTTTGTTGGTGAGCCTTATGGTAATAGACAAACAAAAATAAGCAAGAAATCAAAACATACCAGTAAATTCACTTAACCACCAAATAAAACTACAAAAGAGGGAGAAAGAAAGAAAAAAACTACAAAGAAACTAGAAAACAAGTAAGAACTTAGGTATCCATAATTACCTTGAACATAAATGGCTTAAGTTTTCCAATTAAAAGATATAGAGTGGCAGAATGGATTAAAAACAATGGCAATATGTTACTTAAAAGAAACTCATTTCACCTGTAAGGACACACATAGATTGAAAGTGAAGGAATAGAATAAGGTATTCTATGCAAATAGAAGCCAAAATAAAGAAGTATCCATATTTATATTGGAAAATAGAGTTTAAATCAAAAGCAGTAAAATGAAACAAGGAAGGTCATTATATATTGATGAACCAGTCAATTAATCAAGATGAGTGAACAATTCTAGACCACAGATAATCAGGGGGCACTTCTTCTAACTCTTCAAAGAGCAATTAGGTGCCCAGACATGCCAAGGAACTGTGGAACACATCTCTGCCTTGGCTCTGAGATATACCCCCAGTAAGAGATCACTCCATGTTAAATAACTCAGCAAGGAATATTTTTAGAATCTTTAATGTAAGTTTTTTACTTCATTGTTATATTCTTCTGTGTTGGCTTCACAGTTTTCCTCATTTTTTGATATTGCATATTTCCACTTTTATGTATTTTAATGTATTAATTTGATTTACTCTTCTGTCTTTCTCATTGTTTTACTCTGCCCTCTTTTTTTCTCTGTGTCTGCTCACATTGTCTGTTTTAGTCTCTCTTCTGCCTTTTCCTCTGCCTTTTTTGTTAACTTCCTCTTTACTTTTCCTTTTCATGCCCTATATCATTTAATGGAAATCTTTCTTCCTTTAATACTTAATTTTTCACTTTATTCAAAATCAAAAAGAAATAAAAACCTTCCAAAATAAGCATGAACTAAAGGAGTTCATAATCATTAAACTAGCATTGTAGAATATACTCAAAGAATCCTACACAGAGAAGAGCAAGATAAAAATAAGAAAGAATGGAGGAGAAAGAATAAATCACATTAGAAAAATAAATAAGCAGATGAGAAATAGAAATGATTCAAACCTTAGAAATAAAACACAATTACAGGAAGTAACATATACCTCTGTATAATAACAATGAATGTAAATGGTCTTAATTCTTTAAGTACATGACCAGAAATTTTGAAACTGACAGAAGGAAAAAAAAAACTGTGGAAACACTTCAATATAGGTGCAGGCAAAACTTCATGAATAGTATCCCTATAACTCAGGAAATAAGAGAAAGAATCAATATATGGGATGGCATCAAACTGAAAGTTTCTGCATATCAAAGAGAACCTACTCAATGGGAGAAACTCTTTGCCAGCTACACCTCCAACAGAGGACTAATATCCAGAACATAGAAAGAACTCAAAAATCTCAACATTAAAAAAATGCAATCAATTAAGAGATGAACTAAACAAATATGTCTCAAAAGGAGAGTACAAATGGCCAATGATTACATGAAAAATATTCAACATTTTTGGCAATCAAGTAAATGTAAATCCAATCCATTTCATTCCAGTTAGAATGGCAACCATCAAGAATACAAATTACAATAAATGCTGGTGAGCATATGGTGAAAAAAGAATCTTATATACTGTTAGTGGGAATGTAAATTACTACAGCCACTATGGAAATTGGTATGGAGGTTCCTCAATAAACTAAAAATAGAACTACCACATTGTCCAGCTTTACCACTCCTTGGTATTGATCCAAAAGAATTAAAGTCAGCATATTTTAGAAATGTATACATACCCAAGTTTATAGTAGTACAATTCACAATAGCCAAGTTATGGAACCAACCCAGTATCTGTCTACAGGTGAATGGATAAAGAAAATGTGGTGTATACATGATGGAGTTTTATTCAACCATAAAAAAGAACAAAATTATGTAATTTGCAGGTACATGAGTGGAACTGAGATTATAATTCAAAGTGAAATAACTCATACTCAAAAAGAAAGCTATCATGTTTTCCCACATCTGTGGAAACTGGAGGGGGAAAATAGGGATGCCATAAAAGTAGAAGAGAGATATGTAGGGTAGAGGAAGAGAATCAGGGGAGCTGAGATGGGATGTTGGGAAGTTATCAGAAAGTGCAGTTGATCAAATTATATATTTATATGTCTACCAATGTGCCACAATGAAATCTACCATTTTGTAAAATTAATATGCACCATACAAATGAATAAATAAATCACCTTTGAAACACAAAATATGTATTATTCAGTATTACACTGAACTCTATTAATAGGTACAAATAATACATACTAATAAAAATAAAATAATTAAAAATAAGAAAAATTTGGGAAAAAATGAAATCAAAATGTCACAGTTACAGATGACATGACCTTCTATGTAGCAAACCCAAAAAACTCAACAAAAAATTAGAACTAATAAATGAATTCATCAAAGTTACAGGATACAAAATCAACATAAAAAATCAATAGTGTTGCTATATACCAGTAGTGAGTTATACAGAATAGAAATCAAGAAAGGAATACCTTTTACAATTGCTACAAAAATTAAAAGAACTAGAAATACAGTTAATCAAAGAGGTGAATGATCTCTACAATGATTATTACAAAGCATTTATGAAAGGTGCAGAGGACAAAAGAAAATGGAAAGACATACTGTGTCATGAATTGGAAGAATCAATATTGTTAAAAGGCCCATGCTAACCCTAAGCAATTTATGGATTCAGTGTGATGTCTATTAAAATGTCAATGGAGGGCTGAGGCTGTGGCTCAGCGGTAGCTCATTTGCCTGGAATGTGTGAGGCACTGGGTTCGATCCTCAGCACCACACATAAGTAAATAAAAAAATAAAGGTCCATTGACAACTAAAAAAATATTTTAAAAAATCATTAAAATGTCAATGAAATTCTTCACAGAACTAGAAAAAAACATATAATATTTATATGGTAACACACACACACACAAACACAAAAATAGCCAAAGCCATTTTGAGCAAAAAGAACAAAGCAGGAGGCATTATGCTACCTGACTTCAAAACATGGTCTCAGAATAGCCAAAATAGTCTTTAGAGAAAAATTAGTAATCTCATACTTCCCTGTTTCAAAACTTAGTACAAAGTTACTGTAATCAAAACTGCAGGGTGGACTGGGGATGCAGTTCAGTGAGAGTGCTTGTGTACCATAAGAGAGGCCCTGTGTTCAATCCCCAGCACTACAAACCAAAATAAAAATTTAAAAAACTGCATGGTACTGGCATGTGGATAGATATGTAGATCAATGCAATAAAATTGAGAATTCAAAAATAAACCCTGACATTTATGGTCAATTGATTTTTTTTAATTATTTTTGTTGTTGATAGAACTTTATTTTTATTTATTTATATGTGGTGCTGAGAATCAAACTCAGTACCTCACACATGCTAGGCAGGCACTTTACAACTGAGCTACAACGTTACAATCTTAATTTTTATAATCTTAAAAAAATAATTTTTAAAGAATTTTATAAAAAATGAAGAATAATCTTCCTTATAACAAATGGTGCATTTATTTGGTGGACAAATAGACAATTATATGTATATAAAATTGTAAGATAAAAAATTTTGAACCCTTCCACTTACCACATACAAAAATTGACTCAAAGGATCAAATATAAAGATCTAAAAGTAACACTAAAACTAAAAAGCTCTGAGAAGGAAATAGAAGTTTATATCCTGATGACCTTGGATTAGGCAATAGTTTCTTTCATATGATATCAAAAGCTCAAGCAACTGAAGAAAAATAGATATGGTTAACTTCATGAAAATTAAAAAGTTGTTTGCACCAAAGGACAATATCCAGAAAGTAAAATACAACCCAGAGAAAGGGAGAAAATGTTTGGAAGTAAATAATACTATCCAGAATATATGGAGGACACTTACAACTCAACAATAACAAGACAAAAAAAATTGAAAGTGGGGAAATCATTGGAATAGATGTTTCTCCAAAGACGATATATAAATGACCAAGCAAATCACATAAAAACATACCCAACATCATTGGTCATTAGTGAAATACTAATCAAAACTATAATGAAATACTGCTTCACACAAAAGTGATTTTAATAGTTGAAAAAGAAGATAAGTGCTCGTGAAGTTGTAAAAAAAATAAAAAAAAAAGCTCATAAATTACTGGTGGGAATGTAAAGTGAAGCTGTTACCATTAAAACATTTTAGTGGTTCCTCAAAATTTTAAACATGGAGTGGCCCAGTAATCCCATTCCTAAGCATATACTATGATCAATGATAATGTATGTTTTTTCAAAAATTTGTATGTCCATAGCAGCATTATTTCTAATAGATGAAAAGTATAAAGAACTCAAAGGTCTTTTACCTGATGAGCAAATAAATAAATGTGGTACATACATGCACTAGAATTTTATTCAATCATTAAAAATAATATAGTCCTGATACATGCTATAACATAGGTGAACATTGAAAATATAATAAGTAAAAGAAATCAGTCACAAAAAGACACATTGTATGATTCCACTTATATGAAATGTCCAGGATAGAAGGCAGAATTGTTGTTGCCAGGGTCTGGGAGAAGAGGGAGAATAGATATCTCTAACAGTTATGAGTTTCTTTTTGAGGAATTTGATAGATGAGGAAATCACACAATATTGTGAATATGCTAGAAACCATTAAATTATACACCTGAAGAGAGTAAATGTGTCTTTTATCTACAATTTTAAAGGGATTGGAATTCTTTATTTTTGAATTTCAATTTGTTATATTCTTGAGCATCTTTTTATCAGTATGATTGATGCTTTTGGACATCCCTATTTTTCTGCTTTGAATTTGGGTGAGCATGAATGTTAGTGACAGACATTTTGGTTTTCACAAGGTCTTTCTTCATCATTACAGTGTTTTTCATTCTGGTACATGCATCCCAGAAAAAGAGCAGCATAGGTTAAGAGATGGCATTTTGTGGCCAGCATGTTTGTTCTATGGTAATAATGAAGATCACCTGTTTTTCTCTCACCGAAGGTGCCTTGAAGACAACGAGTGGAACTACACCAGAGCTGGTCAGGTCTTCATTATGCTTCAGGTGAGACCTGGGGACCAAGAGGGTAAAAATGTATGTCTGTGGGCCTTCAGTAAAGAAGAGATTGGGTGGATGGAACTCAGGGCACCTAGCTCTTCTGACATTCCAATTCCTTCCCTCCAGACTGAGGGCAAGATCCCAGAAGAGGCCTTCAAACAGTTACCCTGAAAGGAGCCCTTGAATGCCATCCTCCTCTTCATCCACATCATTGTTTCTCTGTCACCAACTTAAGTTTATGATGCTTTGGAGATCTAGCTGACCAAGAAGCCAAAGTTAACCTGTAGGCTAGGTAAACATAGCCTTCCAAAGTGCCAGTTGTTCTGTTTTCCCCATTGAAGGTGGCTGCTTATTTTCATAATAAAGACTGATATTGCACTTTACATGTTGTTGTGCCCTGGATTGATCTTCTTTGCCATAGCTGTAAGCCAGTGAGGACTTGGGCACCCCTGCTCCCACCAGAAGTGTGGAGAATAAATTTGGTTCAACACTTGCCTGAAATTTGAAACTGCTAACTGCCAGTCATTAGGAAAGGTCCAACAGAACTGACCACATGATGTGAGATTCTGTGCTATTGTTATTTGAATGTGAAAATAAGTGGCTGAAGGCCTTCAAGAACATGAACAGAGAACATCAGTATCACTTTTGTGAGGGATGCTGTCCTGGATGTCCTTAAGCAGATCTTTTTAGGCTTTCTTCCATGGGTACTTGTAAATAAATTTTCATGAGAAAGGACACACGTTATATACCATGTTGGCCTTTGATGATGTTGAGACTGTGAGATGCTCTACCCAGTGCTCTTCAGAAGCAAGGATGTGACTTGGCACAACAGGAACTTCTCAAAGGATGCTTTCTGGATATCAGGGGCTGTGGATGGATGGAAGGAAGGAAATTAGGTAGGTGAGGGCTCACATATTTTACTTCTTGTTCCTAATCATTGAGCATTTTCATAGACCATACCATGCTTAGCTTTGTGAAAATCACATAGGTAAATGGGAAATGGGCTTTTCCACAGCTTTTCCCACCCTTCCATCTGTCTCCCTACCCAACTTTCCACCCTTTCCCTTTCCTGAAGGTGCTCTGGGAAGAGTTTGCAGTCAGCACCTACAGGGGAAGAATCAGCATGTCTGCCCAGTGCATCCCTCACAGAGCTGATAGCAGGTGCTCAGGGCCATGATCTTGAGTGGCTTTAACCACATGTGTTGTGTTCATTGACAAATAACAACAATGGTGTGGTCCTATAGGACATTCCTAATGACTGGCAGTTAGAAGTTCCAAATGCCATGCAAGTGTTGAACATGCCATCTGCATACTATATTCTTCACACTTCTGGAATGCTTGCACTTTAGAAAACAGGCATAATTTTTTAATTAGAATAATAGCAGTACAAGATTTTCAAGTTGTTATCCTATAAATGACATGGGTGAAGCACCACCAGTTGGCAATAATTGCCTGTACTTCTTGGGTGTTTGGCAGAAATAATTTCTTACCACTTGACACTTTTAGATTTTTGATGTATGCTTCCAGTAGGGAGCCAGATATTGAAGTGTGGATTTCTGAAAAATGAGTACTGAGGCAACAGCTGGCATTACATAAAGAATAATGACAACTGTTCTTCCAAATAGGACCTCAGTGGTCAAAGCCAAGCTCCTATAACTCACTAAGCCTTGGCCTTCTCACATTGGGAGCAGAGATTACACCACATACTTCTTGGCCTCATAGGAAGGGATAGAGATGGTCTCACATGGTATTGAACAATTGCAGTGTCTGGCTCAACTCAGGCTCTCTCAGCTACCTGGGTTCCCTAGTAGGTAGGAGCCATGGAAACCATGGCATGGCTCCTCTACTTCCTCTACCATCAGGCTTCTACATCCTCAAACTCCTTCCCTAGCCAGATCAGAAAACATGGTTTCCTTCCAATCACCCACCTGCCAATTCCCACAGCTACCATTAGGCCCATGCCACCAGGCAAGCAAATGCTAACCCTGAGATGCCCCCCAGGTGAGTTGGTATATAAATATGTACACACACAAACATGCACACACTTCTATCTACAAATTTTCCCTTAGGATATTTCTTGGAAGAGTAAATGATGATTCTAAGTCTATGGTTTCTAATATTGTTACTGAAATTTGTGGTTTGGGGACAGCAGGTACACTTTTATATTGTTTATGAACATCTACTTAAGCATATTTATTTTAGTGCCCACACAGAACAATTGCATTCTATATACATACATATTTACACATACAAATATTTTATAGAGAGATAAATATTTTATAGAGAGATTCATAATGCAGGTACCCATTTATATCCATTATTGACACAAAGTTGTTTACAATCACACATGCTATCGATTTTATAGGATATATGTGATGATTTTCTTTTATTCTTGACATTTTTAATTTGGGGTTATTTGCATATAGTGTCTGGTGAGAAAACTGATTAGTGTAGGAGTCAGCAAATGGCAGTTGTGGCCAGCAAGGTCCATCTACAGCTCCTCTGTTCATTTCCCTGGGTCCTTAAACTGTCTGCTTAGGGATAAGGTGAGAAGGATGCTGAGACTACAGAACTCACATGAGCTTAGATCTAATAGTGGTATTATTTCCCATATGTCACTTCCCTTCCTGTCCATCACGTACAAAAGCATCAAGTTCATGGACACTTCCAAAAAAGTGCACCTCTTACAAAGGTTACATGTGAGGGTAGGTAGTAGATTTCCGCCCATGACCCATCAGGGCCCAGCAGCCTCTGTGGGGAAGGGGACCCAGGAGTGGCTACAGGAACACCAGGGACAGTGGCCTTGATGATGCTCTTTTCCAGATTCATTCCAATTGTGTGCCTCTCCTCAGAATACCCCTGGGTCCTGCTTATTACTCTTCACTCCTAACTCTGTTCCAAAATCTGTTTCTGAGCTGATCCCCATACTCCTGGGATGCCGCCCATAGCTCCAACCCTCAGCCCTATGCTTAACTGCTGATTATCATTGTAAACATGGATTCCTTTCCTCCTATTTTGCTTCTCAGAAGGCTTAGCATTATTCCCCTCCACACAAACTTCCCCTTCACACATTACCCCTTGTGATTATACCCTCCCATAACCTCTGTACTGGAGAAAACCAGAAGGTAGTTGTGAACCCTTCACTCCCACAGTCAATATACAAAGGCACGAAACTCAGACCCAGAACAGGAAATGTTATACACTAGTCCCCACCCTCACCAGAATATAAAAACATAGAGAAAGTTGGGGCTGGGCTTGTGGCTTAATGGTAGAGTGCTCACCTAGCATGCACAAGGCACCAGGTTCCATCCTCAGCACCACATAAATATAAAATAAAGATATTGTGTCCACCTAAAGCTTAAGAATAAATATTAAAAAAAAAAAAACATAGAGAAAGTGTCTGGGTGTTTTTAGCATCCTAAACTGCATCAAAGGAATGTGATGATGAAATGGTAGGAAGGCACACTTTCTGGGGGTTGGGAAAGTTGTGCCAAGGCCTTAAAATCTACATTTGTAACAGGATCCAGGTGTGATGCTTAATTTTATAGGTCAATTTGGGTAGGTGACAATACTCAGATATTTGGTCGAACATTTTTAATGTTTCTGTGATGGCATTTTTAGATGAAATCAGCACTTAAATCAGCAGGCCTTGAGTAAAGCAGATTACCCCGCCTAGTATGGATGGGCCTCATCCAACCTCCTTCAAAGATATTGAAGGAAGAAATGACTGATTTACCCCAAGGAAGAGAGAATTCTGCTACAGACTGCCTCCAATTGGAGCTGTTTGTTGGGTGTTCAGTCTGCTGGACTTCTCTGCAGATTTGGGACATTCCTGGCTTCATTCTTTCATGAGCAAACTCCCAATAAATACACACACACACACACACACACACACACACACACATACCTTATTGGTTCTGTTTCTCTGGAGAACCCTAATAAACCAAGTAATTCTGAAGGTGCTATTTAATGGATTGTACTTTGAGTAACAGGTAATTAGAGAATATCTGGCATGTGGGCACATGGCCTGACTCATCTATAATAATATTCATTGTTGTATTTTTTTTAAATTTTTTATTGTTGGTTGTTCAAAACATTACAAATTTCTTGACATATCATATTCCACACTTTGATTCAAGTGGGTTATGAGCTCCCATTTTTACCCCATATACAGAATGCAGAATCACATCAGTTACACATCCATTGATTTACATATTGCCATACTAGTGTCTGTTGTGCTCCGCTGCCTTTCCCATCCTCCACCATCCCCCCTCCCCACCTCTCCCCTCCCCTCCCCTCCTCTCTCTCTACCCCCTCCACTGTATAACCCTGAGGGTCTCCTTCCATTTCCATGCAATTTCCCTTCTCTCTCCCTTTCCCTCCCACCTCTCATCCCTGTTAAATGTTAATCTTCTTCTCCTGCTCTTCATCCCTACTCTGATCTTAGTTACTCTCCTTATATCAAAGAAGACATTTGGCATTTGTTTTTTAGGGATTGGCTAGCTTCACTTAGCATAATCTGCTCTAATGCCATCCATTTCCCTGTAAATTCTATGATTTTGTCATTTTTTAATGCAGAGTAATACTCCATTGTGTATAAATGCCACATTTTTTTATCCATTCATCCATTGAAGGGCATCTAGGTTGGTTCCACAGTCTTGCTATTGTGAATTGTGCTGCTATGAACATCGATATAGCAGTGTCCCTGTAGCATGCTCTTTTTAGGTCTTTAGGGAATAGACCGAGAAGGGGAATAGCTGGGTCAAATGGTGGCTCCATTCCCAGCTTTCCAAGAAATCTCCATACTGCTTTCCAAATTGGCTGCACCAATTTGCAGTCCCACCAGCAATGTACAAGTGTACCCTTTTCCCCACATCCTCGCCAGCACTTGTTGTTGTTTGACTTCATAATGGCTGCCAATCTAACTGGAGTGAGATGGTATCTTAGGGTGGTTTTGATTTGCATTTCTCTGACTGCTAGAGATGGTGAGCATTTTTTCATGTACTTGTTGATTGATTGTATGTCCTCCTCTGAGAAGTGTCTGTTCAGGTCCTTGGCCCATTTGTTGATTGGGTTGTTTGTTCTCTTATTGTCTAATTTTTTGAGTTCTTTGTATACTCTGGATATTAGGGCTCTATCTGAAGTGTGAGGAGTAAAGATTTGTTCCCAGG